CACCTGGGCACCCTGCTGGCTCCTATCCAGCCCCCTCTCGACCAACCCCCCCAGGGCCTTTTCCGCCGGGCAGCTTTCCAGCCCCTCTGCCCCACGCCTGGAGCGCTGCCTGGGGTTGTGGTGACCCCAGGGCAGGACCCGGCCCTTGGCCTTGGTGACCCTCACCCCATTGCCCTGGGCCCATGGCTCCAGCCTGACCAGGTCCCCCTGCAGAGCCCTCCTCCCCCCCAGCAGATCCACACTCCTGCCCAGCTTGGGGTCATCTGCAAACTGAGGGTGCCCTCGATCCCCTCGCCCAGGTCATGGATAAAGATACAGAAACAACAATGTGTGGAGTGGCTTGGAAGAAAGGTTATGAAGCTCATCTCAGTGTTTCCATGGTTGTTTTTCTGTATATTACTTACTTTGTCATTAGAATTCAGGCAGTGCCTCACAATATGAAGAGCCCTCTTCTATGAACTTAAATTTTTCCACCAAGCGAGGTATTAGCAAGCCACAGATTAGTTGACGTACGAGCATTTGGCTCGAGAGGAACAAGGTTCAGGCTGGTTTGACTTAGAGGAGCGGGGACGGCTGAAGAAAATGGACATGCTGCAGTCTTGGCATCTTTTTATGGCGTACGTGCTTCGGGGGAGAAAGAATTACACTCGTCTCAGGTTCAGAGGCTACCTGGCTTACCGAAGGCGATACAGAAAAGTCTGCGGAAGAGGAGGAACTGGCGAAATCCCCTTGATCCGCTTCTGGCTTAATGCTTGGTAACAACAGCAATTTACTATCGGTGCCTTTGTGAGGCAGGGAAAGATCTCATTATCTTTGAGTTTTATGAGTTCGGCGGTGGGCTGCAGCCTGTTGGCTGTAAACACCGACTGTAATTTTCTGGTGCTAGTTTTTATCTCCCGTGTTGCAGAGATGCTGCCTCGCTATGGCAGATTTGCTGCTAGATCTGTGCTGTGTTTTTCTGGAGGGTAATTTTTATTTCTTAGGAGTGGCATTGGCAAAGAGGAAGGGGAGAATTTAAAAAAGAAAACCAAAACGTGTCGGTTGGAGCGTTAAGCTTTCATTTACTTTATTTCCCCAAGTAGCTTAAAGCTTGAGGAACCTTGCGGAGTTCTTTTCCAATGAAATAAAAAAGATACCTTGCAATTGATAGTATTGGGAAGGTCAACAAGCCATTAATGATGCTGCTGTGAATTAATAGTTGACCTCAACTTTGTCGGTTTTCTACTTAAAACACTGACAATTGCATCGCGTGAATAATAATAATTCAGAAAGATAAATGAAGGATAATGCAGACAAACTGTCTTTTCCTCTGCAGGACTCAGTAATTGATGCTGGTCCCCTATCGCAAGAGTTCATGTGAAGACTGCCCATGGAAGGTCGATGCCTGCGTTTGCTGAGGCTCTAGGATTCTGTTGTTTTGCTGTTTAACTGAAGAATCCCATTTTTCCCATGAACCATCTTTCACCTCGGGAAGATAGAGGTAAGGTTACAGGTCTCCGCTTCTTCTTTCCTCTGTTGGAAAATGTTTGAACCTGTCATGGAGGTGGGTTTTGCTGGAGCGCTTCTTCATGCGGAATTAATTACTGAGACTGCTGAAAGCAAAAGTCACCGTTTTTCTCCGTCCTTGGCATCCTTTGGGTTTTTTTCCCTACGTGAGATGTGCAGTCAGCCTGCATTGCATTCGTAGCGACGGGAGTTGTTTTAAAAGCTCATAAAGATGAAATTATTGCCTGAATCAACTGCGCTTTCTCAATATGTTTTGCAAAATTGAATAGCTAATTGCTGCAGTGGCAGAATGGCATGCGAAGGATTCGTGCTAAAGAATAATCTGTGGGTTTGGTGAGTCCGTGCTACGCTGTAGGCTGGCTCGCGCTGGCCATCAGGTGAATTGAGTCCATAGCCAGAGAATTTTAAAAGTCACAAACTTGGGAAATGAAAATGTTTTATGGCAAGGGCTACTACAACTTCCAGGGCGAGCAGTTTGTGCTCAGCATCCTTGCAGCTCTTACTAGCTGATGCATGCAGCAACTCGAACACTTCTGTGGTTTGCCCACAGCCGGCAATATCTTAAAGGAAAATTGTTGTAATGGAGTGGTAACTCGGAAAGACGGTAGGATGTGTTTAGGAATGAACAAAATGGTAAAACATGTAGCAGTGGGATGACGTGTTGGCTGCAGCTACTGTACGGCCGTGGGGTTCGCAGCCTCTCTCCATCAAGCCTGGGAGCGCTTACTGCTGTGGACCAGGAGTACACAGGGGAGGGGAGGACCTGTATCCCTGCTAATTCCCCTGGAAAACCAGCTTCTAGCTGACATGCCGTAAGGCAAAAAGTGACATATATCACTACAGCTGCCGTCGTCTGATGAAATTTTATATTGCTGGTATCACAATTCCCTGCCTGAGATAGCTGGTGTTGCAAGAAGCTTTTGCGTCGGAGCTGGTTTTGGCTGGAGTGCACTGGAAAATGGGATATTTCCTTCTGGATTGAGCATGGCTTGCTCCTGTGTGGTGTAAATACTGGTCCCAGTAAGATACTGGTGTTGTATGTCCTCTGTAGGCTGCTTTGGCCACCCAGTTTCTGTCCTTGAGTTGGCTGCTTCCCTAAACTGTGGTGGGATGATGGCTGCAGCAGGGGCTGCGGTGGCTTGGAGATGTCGGTGCCCCCATTCTCGATGTCCTCCCCCGATGGGTTTGATGGCTGGAGGGTAGATAATCAGGCGCCTGAGTTGGAGAGACATCCCCTTTGCCCCGCTCTGTCTGGCTGTCCAGAGTTTGACCTGTGGTTTTGAGCAAGACTCCTTGACTCGGTGTCTTCCATTTGTAGCACAAATGATGGCCGTAATTAGGCATGGTTATAAAATTTGGAAATAGCATCAATTTGGTCTTGCCGAATGCTGTCCTGACTGTTAGCTTGGAGTCGCCTGGGTGGAGAGGAGCTGCGGGGCTGCCTGTGAGTGGTAGGAAACCAGCAGAGCCCTGATCCAGTGCTGGAAGTGCTGCTCAGAGTTAATTATTAAACCATGCTTTGCCTGATAAACGCAGAGTTGGATTCAGCATTTTTCACTGCTTTCCCTCTGGACGTAACAGCTACTTTTTGATGGGGAGTGGGGAAGCTGTATCACACACACGCAACCAAAAACTCTTAAGCTCCTGCAACTCTTAAGGTGTCTTTATTTTTCTCTCTGGTATCTTTAACGGTTATACTTGATGATCTTAAAGGTCTTTTCCAACCTAGATGATTCTATGATTCTATGATCTGACCAGATTCAGCTTTTGAAGAGGTGACCTCACAGGGTGGTGGTGGGTTCTCCCCGCTGCCGACCTCCTGCTTTCCAGGCGCCGATTAATACCTGCCCGGGCTGGGAGCTTGCAGACCACGGGTCTTGGGCTGGAGCGTGCCACAGATTGGGCTGTACACAGCTTTTCTTCTTTATTTTCTTCTTTTTTGCCCCCCCTCTCCAAAGCAATCGGTACAAATCACGTGCCCAGCAGTGGCCAGGCTTTACCTGAGACATCTCTTAATGTCAGGCAGCTTGACAGATGCAACCCAGGCAAGTAAAGGGTTAAATTCTTAACTATGAAATTGGATATCATTGTGGGGAGGAAGAGTGAGTTCTAGATTAATTTTAAGGGTGAGGTGCCTCCTCGGCTGCTCTGGATTTCCCCTAATTTAGGGGACTGACGGGCTAGCCCCTGCAGAGAGCCAGGGAGAGCCCTGCCTTCATCCCACCTGGCACCTCCCAGCCTTCTCTTATTCCCTCCCCCCCCCAATCTGTCTTATTAAATTTCATTCTTTCCTCTAGCGAGTGGACTTTTTGGCTTGGCGTGAAATCTGGTTGCTGTGATTGAGTTCCCATCCCCTTTATCCTGCGATGGGGCTTTGAGATGAAAAAATGTAAATCCGATCGCTGAGACGCTCCCTCCCCCACCCTAGCCCTAGGTCTTTGCTGAGCCGAAACTCCCTCTTTATTCCTTAATGATCATATTCCTTCCACTTTAAATAGATTTCCTGCTGTTAACAGCGTTTTCAAGTGTTGCAACACTTTATAAATGGTATCTCGTGAGAGGTATTTACCGTAGCTGTGTTTCCTTGAAGTCGTAACCTCTGCCTTGCCGTTCCCTTTTCCCGGGGGCTGCTGGCGGGGTAGGAAGGACACAGATGACGGGCTTGGCAGTCACCGTACTTCTAAATCATCTGTTCTTCTACCTCTTTTGTTAGTTTTAGAGAGGGATGTTGTTTCAGCCATGTATTTGAAATGGAGTCCTGCTGATCAAGACAAAGATGCCTGCAGCACTTTGGGGGACTTAGCAAGAAGAAACCCCAGGCTTGTCTCGCCATGTACGAATTAAAGGCATTGGGGCACTCCTGAAGCCTTGCTTTTAGAAAACAAAGAGCACAAACAAACCAGGAACCCCCACCATCCCCGCTGGAAAAGGCTCTGTAGGTTGCCCAGTAGTTAACGGACAGGACAACCACCGTGGACCATGTGCAGGGAGAGGTCTGAAGCTTCTGCTGCGCAGAGGACACCCACCAGCAATCACAGAATCCCAGAATCCCAGCATGGCCGGGGCTGGCAGGGCCCTCTGGAGCTCACCCAGTGCCACCCCCCTGCCCAAGCAGGCTCACCCAGAGCAGGGGGCACAGGACAGCGTCCAGGCAGGGGTTGAAGATCTCCAGAGAAGGAGACTCCACAGTCCCCCTGGGCAGCCTGGGCCAGGGCTCGGGCACCCTCACAGTCAACAAGTTCTTCCTCCTGTTCAACTGGAACCTCTTCTGCTTCAGGTTGTGCCCATGGCCCCTTGTCCAGCGCTGGGCACCACTGAGAGAAGTCTGGCTCCATCCTCATGACATCCACTCTTAAGATATTTGTAATAATGCATTCTTCAAGTCGGGCTTCTTGTACTTCTGCTGGCCAGCCTGCAGCCACAATAACGGGAGATGTGGTTTTCTCTTTAGGTTGACAAATACGAAAGCTGAAGAGTTGAGTCCTTTGGTTTTGGGGGTTTGTTTTGGTTTTTTTTTTAGAAGAAAAGCTAGAAATGAGCACATGGAGGCCCCCAACACATTTCTTTTCATATTTGTCATGAAGATGTTATAGCCGGTTGTCACTAATAAAAAGTTGATACTAAAAGCGTTCACCCCGTTGAAGGTGTTCAAGTCTTAACTGAGTTTCTGCCCATTTTGTTTTTATTTGGTCATTTGATTCCGCTGCAGTCCTGGTTTGCGTAACGTTGCAGTACCTCTTTCTGTTAGATGTTTATGTCGGAGGCACCTGCGCGATGCTAAAGACAAAAGTTTCAAGCACGTGTTGAGAAGAAAACAGTTGATGGGATTTCAGATGTGTGCCTCTGGCTTTGGCTTTTCTGGGCGACATGAAGGAAGAGCTGTTTTGGTACGGGAGCGGGTTGTAGTTTCACATCTGAGCACTGTTTCTGTTCCCTTTTTCTAAAAATGCCATGAGATGCTTTTGTTTTCACATGTAAATCCTAGAGCTGGCCAGTCAGACTGGGTGCTTTGTTTATACAGAAAGTATTTGAGACACACACCTCTTCCGTTAAGTAGAACTTGGGGTGCTTAGCTCCTTCAGAAAATTAAAACATGTAAGTAAGGATTTGGTCATCATCCATGAAACATTGCTTGCCCAGGACCTTTGAGGAGAGCTGTTTTGACTTCTTTGTTTTAATATCCAGATTGTGGTTTTGCTTATCTTTTGGAACAAACCACTTCGCCCATCTGCCTCACTACTCCGAGAAATTTTAAGCAAATGCACCTTTTTCCTAGGCTTTCCCATTTCTACACAAATCCAGCCTAATTCTTTGACCGTGACCAGACACCAGCTGCAGGAACCCTTGCCAAGCCGTTGTCCCTCCACCCTTGGTCACTATCTACATGGCAAAGCTGGTGGCTTCCATGAGCCCGCCTGGATGATGTCCTATGTGACATGCTCTAGGTGAACCTGCTTTAGCAGGAGGGTTGGACTAGATGATCTCCTGAGGTCCCTTCCAACCCTTGCCATTCTGTGATTCTGTTTGTCCAACTGCATGGTTCTTGTGAGCACTCCTCAGCTGCAGCCCTGCCGAGCCTTCCAGGCTGGGCTGAGCCCTCTCCAGGAGCTTTTCAACCCAAGCTTCTTGTGCTGACGTAAGTGAGAAATGCTCACGTGAACTCTTCAGCTGTGAATGTGGGATCCTCTTCACAGCCAACCCGGGAATGGGAACATCTTAATCTAGCACAGCCATTTCTGCAGTGATCAATTTATCATCACCTCTAGTGCACGGCTACAGCGGTAATGCAGGTTGTAGCCCCTTCATAGAATCATAGACTCATAGAATTGTTTGGGTTGGCAAAGCCCTTTAAGCTCCCCCAACCCAAGCGTTCCCCTACCCCTGCCATCCCACCCCCAAACCCTGGCCCTCA